ATGATTGACTCTGGAGTCATTGTGAGCGTGGCTGCGGGTAACAGCGACACAGACGCTTGCACCTTCTCTCCCGCTAATGTACCCGAAGTGAGTATGGGGAACTTATTGAGGTATGGTATCATTCTAAGTTTTAAGCCCGTCTGCTCTAGTTTGGCCGGGAAGGATTAGATCACCCCGCGTGGTCACTGACAGGTGGTTATCTCATCAAATCAGCTCTCAATTAACATAAGAAAAAGAGGATCATGGGAGATCAACGGGTACCACTTAGGCATTGTTTTCTAATCTGTGCTAATCAAACCTGTTAAATTAATAAACACAGGAGATGAAAATTCAACACAGTGTACCCTACGGTTGATTTTGCAATCACTATTTTTGTAGATGTGATCCTCCCATTGCAGGTAACAAAAGTGACCGGATACTGACGTATCCCTACGTCAGACTAGTAACGTCTCGTGTACAACGCTGACATTGGTCTGCGTCAGCAACCGGCACTTTAGTAGGGACTTTTAGATGTGCGTGGACTGATACGTGTGACGTCCATTCAAGGCAGTGCATTAAAAGGACGTCGATCGTAGCAATCCACATTGTCTTCGTGCAAATCTAAAATTCCCTTTTATTGTAAAACGCCCCCTACGTGAGAGTTACTATGATGTAGTGAGTGAAAAGGGGAAAAATTTGGTTGAACTAATGTCACATGCACTATATTATATACATGTATAATAATTGCCTTAGTTGGTCTTTTTTGTATATTATAACACAATCGAAATAAAGCCTCGTGAAGAATTTAAATCACCTTCATTGGTGTTAGTATCAGTAATAGTAGTATCATTATTAGTAGTACATGTATTAGTATTGTTTGAATTATTATTATCATTATAATTATCATCATTGTCATATTCTGTATTATTAATTTCATTATTTGTATTACTATTAAGGATGTGTTATTTAAATTAATCTAATTTTTATCTTTTCATGTCCAACAAGATACCGTACATAATAACGAATTCAATGTGAAATGTATACAAAACATAGTTACATTTGTAATTAACAAATCTTAATAAGAATTCATAAATTTCACGAAGACAAAAAATTGAATTATAAATTTAATTGCATTTATATTTTGAGGAAATGGAGAGGTCCACTGTAAAGTAAAGCTTGTAAGTTGTGGACCCCTCAGATAATAATGAGTGTGAAAAGAGTATAGAATACAATTATCATCATCATCATCATCATAATCATCACAATTGTTGTTGCTGTTATTACTGATGCTGTTAATGTTGCTCATTTCCCTTTATGACGTAGGCCATCACGGCAGCTGCCTCAGACATAAATGACGTCAGAGCGTACTTCTCAAACTATGGGTCGTGCATAGATATCTTCGCCCCTGGCGTGGAGATCACAAGCATCTGGTACGAGGATGCGACGGCCACCTATGTAGCCAGCGGCACGTCCATGGCTTGCCCTCATGTGTCCGGTAGGTAGGGAGAGAGAGAGTGAGAGGGAGACAGAGAGAGGGGTGAGGGAGGGTGAGAGAGAGAGGGGGAGAGGGGGAGTGAGTGAGGGGAAGGGAGTGAGTGGAAGAGAGAGAGAGAGAGGGAGAAAGTGTGAGAGAAAATGTGAGAGAGAGGGAGATAGAGAGGGTGTATGTGGGTGTATGTGTGTGACAATAGAAAGAGAAAATGAATAGAATCTTACGAGCTAATATCCAAATATTTTCTCCACGTCCCGCCCCCCCCCCAAATCCGGGAACAGAGGTACGCACATGCGTGTTCCCAAAATCTCCGGCTCGTAACAAAAGAAAAAGGTCTACCCGTATTGACTTACCCACCGGACTTATGCTGAAAAAAAGGGGGGGGGGATGGTGCTGAAAAGGCTCGTATACCAAAATAAAAAGCTCTACCCGTATTGAGTTTACACACCGGACTTATGCTGAAAGTGGGGGGGGGGGGGGGGTGCTGGGAACACGCATATGCGTACCCTAAATAACACTGAGTGAGGGGGGCGGCGGCTCCGCGTTTCGCATTTTCAGAATGAATGACAATTTTAATAGACCATTTTTGTAATGTAATCAAATTGAATGCTTAAATATTTGTCAAGTGCTGTATTACAAATTATTTAATTCATCTGTATGGCCATTCTTCTATCTGTAACCTTTGACATATGTAGGAGCTGCAGCCGTTGTTCTTGGCAACAACCCGACTTTCACCGTGAGTCACGTGACCGCCGCGCTCGTGAATGGCGCCACCAGAGACAAGATTACAGACCCCAAGGGCTCCCCCAACCGTCTGCTTTACGTGGACTAAAACATTCTCACCAAGGAGGGCGTCTGATTCACCATGATTGACTCAGTGATTAATTGATTGATTGATCAACTGATTGGCATCAATTTCAATATTATATTAATTATATACGATCATTATCATTATTTTCTGTGCATTGAATGAACAATAAATTATCTTTCAAAGCAAAAGATGTGTCAGAATTTTTTTTTTTTTAAAGGACGTCTGATTTGTAATTGACTGATTGATAAATGGATTTTGTTTTGTTCTGAAGCATTCTTAAATACATTTGTTCAGTACAAATAAAAAATCATACATCTTCGTTTTAATTGATATAAATAACATGGATTGATTGATTGATTGATCGAACGACTGATTGATTTAATGACATCATTGTCACGAATAATCTTGGTGTTTAACTGATTGATTGGTTGATTGATCAATTGACTGGTTGATCGATTGATCGGCATTCATTTGTGTAATATAAGGAGGACATATCATTGGTGTTTGATTGATTGATTGGTTGATTGATCAATTGACTGGTTAATCAATTGATCAGCATTCATTTCTCTAATATAAGGAGGACATATTATTGGTGTTTGATTGATTGATTGGTTGATTGATCAATTGACTGGTTGATCAATTGATCGGCATTCATTTCTCTAATATAAGGAGGACATATCATTGGTGTTTTATTGATTGATTGATTGATGAATGATTGACTTAATGATTTAAAGATTGATTGCTGATGAATTGATAGATTGATCGCTTAAGACCGTCAATACTACTGGGCCAGAGGGGAATAGACCACACAGCGAGGTCACTGACAGGTGGCTATATCATTAACTCATCTCTCGACTAACATTAGAAAAAGAGGATCATGGGGGACCAACAGGCACCGATTGGGGAAGTTTTCTATATAGAGGGAGCAAGTAGCTACAAGTAGGACAGTGGGGCTTAACTATTCGATTTTGTATTAAATTGTTTATCCGTTCATTCAACAAGTTATGGATAAATCATGACAAATTTTTACAACTTTGAATTTGAATCGAACAAATATTGTAAACCATGCGCAATAATCATGAGGTGCATAAAATTGTTGGAAAAAACATTATGGAATAAAATTGAGCTCAATTGAAATGATAATTCTTTCTTTTCTCTTTTTTTTCACTCACTGACTGAATTCTTTAATTTGAGAGCCGAAATCATTGCACATTTATGGGAATAATGTGATTTATTGGTTTATTGATTTTTATATCATGTTTCTCATCTCTTTTTCGAAATTCATATTCATGTGCATTAATGTGACATTTACATTTGATACATTTTTACAATACAGCACATAACATTTTCTATGAAACGTTACAAATTTAATTACACGCCTAATGCATAACCAATAAGTAAAACATAGAAAATGTAAATAAAGAAAATTGAATTACACGCTGATGCATAAATGGCAAGAATTGAAATAGGGGAATTGCTGGTTTATCATTATGGACTGTGGGAGAACTTAATGGCAAATCACTTCTGCATACTGAATGAAGAGTAGAGAACCAATCGTCCAATCACATAGCTGAGCCAGTGGGAGTGTTTCACAAAGACTGAGATCGAATTAAGTTGGACTTGAATTATGGCATGCCGTTCATGCCACTGATACTATAGTTACTCTAACCATTCCTGGCATTGGTTGGTCACAAATCTACAGAATTATTTTGATAGTTTATTATGGAAGGAAAAATAGTTTCTAAAAATCATAATTTCTAAGGTTTTTTCCCTCTAATTTTACATCTGGTTCAAGACTTTTTAAGGACATGAATCGCATACCGTAGTATAGGTCCAAGTCTTCAATATAACTTAAGTTTACAACGTAAGTAACTTTTTTTTTCTTTCTTTAACGTTGGCCGGAAAGTAAGCCATACATGACATTTTTCATTTGACAACAAACAATAGCGGTTCCCTATTAATTTTAGAGTCACGCCCACCCATTAGTGAGTCACGAAACAAACTATGATTTTTCAATCACCTTGGAATATCTCATTATTTTTCTAATTTCTTTCAAAGTTTTATCTTCATGTCGTTTCTCTGATAATGTTTGCTTCCGCACAATTCAACGTGGTGTTACAAAAGTTGGGTCGCCACAGTTCAAAAGTTTAAGTTTAAGGGTCATGGTAGGCCCGCCTTTACAATGCACGATGTAAAGCATAAATTAATACCATTTTATTCCTATATACAAGTTATACTGCACTTTATTGGTGTGAGGGAGAAAAAAAAATAATCGTTCGGCTTTCCCATGCATAGACAGGCATTACTGAATACCGATAATGGGCGAGATCTAATGCAAACAAAATTCCCTATTATATCCCGCCGAGTTTTTAGAAGTCTCTCTCTCTCTCTCTCTTTCCTCCCTCCGTCTCTCTCTGTCTGTCTCTCTATCTCTGTCCTCGCTGAACAAAGATGAATTACAAATGGACAAATTTCAGGGTTTTGTTGTCTGTCTATATGTCTTTCAATGGTCCACGATCTCTTTCTCCCTCTCTCTCTTTCTCTCTCGGTCACGGCTTTCAGTGGGTGGAATACAAAAGATGTCTGTTATGTATTATGTCACTGATGCGACTCGAGGAATACAAAAGACTTAGGCGTGTACAACGCGTATTAATACCTCTGGGGCCTTGTTTGCAGGTATATGGAAATCAACACAGCGCGGCGGTCTGTGTATAGTGAAAAGGTGTGTGCGTATGTATACTGTGTGCGTGTGTATACTCAAGAAGGGTGCGACTCCACTGGACTTTATAAACTAACGCCCTGTACGTTAAAGCTAGTTAAACTATTTTCACTCGTTCACATACTGCTGTTTATGTATTGGTAGCAAAACGTAATCTTTCTCGGAGACTACATCATATCTTCAAAAGGAGTTATTTCCTAAGCCGATTCATACGCTAATTTCACGGTAAGTAAAAGAAGATCGAGTATAGACTAGACTAAGAAGTATAACTTTCATGTTAATCACGGTTTGGGGGGAGAAAATTTAATGATTTAACTAGCGAGAAAAAACTAATACAAGACTCGAAAACTTGAATGAACATTTTTCTTCTTAGCTCTAGAGTTGACTGCCGAGTAGTTCTTGCAGTGATATTATGTTCGTAATATTAAGCATGTTGATAAGTATTACTAGTTAGGCCTTTTTATATAGTTCG